CTAAAAGACTCTGGTGCCCGCAAACAACCCCATATATCTCTGCTCCCCACCCCACTGCCAGATCTTCTGCCGGTGCAAGAAATGGAGCCTCTTTCTAATTTTCTAACACTTCAGAGCATCACAGCGGGATGGCTCTTGTGTGGTTGTTCCCTTGTCCAAGGCTGGGACTGGAACTAGATGGTTCTCACGGACACGTATTTTCTTTGTTGTTAACAAGACACTGCTGCAGACCCACAGTTGGACAGGGGCTGTCACTGCAAGGCTGGCTGGCCATCACTGCTCCAGAGAGGGCTGGGGCAGACTCCTCCTTTGCTCCCCTGGCTCCCCTGACCTTGGGGACAGCATAGGCTGAATGATTTGGGTGATGCTTGCAGCAGTGCTGGACCGGGGGCAACCAGGACCCTCTCCTGCGAGCATTGCTTTGAGTGATTGCTCCTGCCGGGCAGCAAGTGGCAAAAATCCTGCAATCTCTCATTTGGCCCACATGCTGGTTTATTTACAGCCGTGGTAGGATCACCGCCGCCCAGGGAAGGGAGCCAGCTGCCCGGGCCGGCCTGCGGCACATGGCACAATGCCCTCAAGGAGCCAACAGTGTCACCCCATGCAATGCACACCCCCTTCTCAAGGGGCTGACAGGTGGGCAGAGGTACACCCAGACTGCGCGATTCTTGAGCACTTTCCTGTTAGAAAGCCAGGATAAAAGCGAAGGATACGGCTGATGTGGTGCACTGGGCCCATGGGCAGGGCGAAGGCGGCCGGTGAGCAGAGGTGTGCCGACCACGGTGCCAACCCTGCTTTTCACCCACAGCTCTTCTTTCCCTGCTCTATACCCCTTCCCCTGGGGCTGGGGGCTGATTTTCACTCCCCAGTTTAATTAGCGAAGGGGGGCATTAGCCCAGGGCCAGGGTTACGCGCAGCCCAGCCGCAGGGCTCAGCAACCCTGCCAGGATGTTGGGGTGGGTTGGAGGGGAAAACTTCCTTTCCACCCAATAAAAAAACTGATGTGCTGAGATGTGCACCGTTCATTGTCCTGCAAAGGGGTGGGGTGAGGGTGGGGAAGGGAGGATTGATCCGAGAAGAGGTTGTGAGAGGTTTAGCACTAGTTAAGGAAAAAGCTTAGCTTTGGTCTCCACTATACAAAAAATGTGTGGCCAGGCTGGGGAGGGTCCAGAGAAGGGCCACCAAGATGATCAAAGGACTGGGAAGCCTGCCATATAAGGAAGGGCTGAGACAATATAGTTTCTTCAGCCTTGAGAAAAGAAGGCTTAGGGGAGACCTTTTTGCCATGTTCCAGTATTTAAAGGGTGGCTACAAAGAAGATGGAGACTCCCTTTTCACAAGGAGTCACATGAAAAGACAAAGGGTAATGGGTACAAGTTACTCCTGGGGATATTCCAATTGGAAACAATAGGAAAATGATTCACAATGAGAACAATCAGCCATTGGAATAATGTCCCCAGGGAAGTGGTGGATTCCCCATCACCAGACACTTTTAAGATTCAGCTGGACAGGGTGCTTGGCCATCTTGTCTAGACTGTGCTTTTGCCAAGAAAGGTTGGACCAGATGATTCTTGAGGTCCCTTCCAACCTGGTATTCCATGATTCTATGAAATGACATAGTTTGTGTGTGAATCTGCCCGTCAGCCCCATGTCTTCTCAACAGCATTGAATCCTGTTAGCTGTCAAGCACCTCAGAGAAGTTCTCGTTGTGAGTTCACAAGTATTGACAGTTGCTAGAGCTGGTTAGAGCTGCCACTTGAGAGAGGGATGGGCAGAACGTGACCATGCCAGCCCCTGATAAGCCCCAGCCAAACCTTCATCACCTCTGTGGGTCTGCCCTCCCCAAGGTACATCCAGTTTCTGACCAGCTGCTGGTGACAGGGTGGGTGAGGGAGATGACATCAACAGAAAGCAGCGTGTGTATGGGGGGGAGGTTTAGGGAGGCCCTAATCTTGGGGGACAGAGATATGTGAGGACTGGGTATGTGAGGAACACTGTGGAAACTCAGATGATTGGAAAGGGAAGAGGTGGTGGGTACAGGACACAAGCCTGTAAGAAATGAACCTAATTTCTTCTGCTCATAGGATTAACAAATCCAACTGAGGTCTCAGGAGGTACAAGGTGACATGCAGTTGCACATACCTTACATTACATACTGGGCACTTTGTACATGGGCCAGGGGGGGTGACTTTTTATTCTTGCCTAACTTGACTTTTCCAAAATGCAGCTGTTTACTGAACATGTTTCCTGGGGCAGCATAAGAAGTAAACATGCTGGCCAGACTGCCAAGCTGTGAAAACATCAGAGATCAAATGCATAATTGGCTTCATGGTCCAAAGAAAAGGTATCAGAACTCTGCACCTGCAAACCCTATTTCTGGGGCACATTGATTTTCACTGGCCACTGTAGTGTGGATAAAATGGTCCTGGGCTCTTCGCGTTGTTCATATTGAAGGTTCCCAAAGTCTTTAAGGAATGAAGGGTGAAATCTGGGCTTGAAGCACGTATAAGAGTTGTTCAACAACTGTCACAATACAGACACTCCAAACAAGGAGCGTGAGCTTGTGCTTCAGAGACCTGCATGTCACAGTCCCCTCCTTTACTATTTTTCCTGAGCCGGAATAAATCAGAGGAAGATGCCAAGGCAGTGACGGTCCTCCATCCAATGCTATAAAAGGTGAGTAAGGAAGAGATCCCACCCTTTCCACAGATTAGGTGGACCTAGTAGGTTTTTTGTTGCAATGTGCTTTAACTTAGTGTCTTGCAGTTAAACGGGGAGGTACATGAGTGACAGCAATCATGAGGAGACAAGCCCCCTGATGGTCCTCACTTCAGGATGGAGGGTGAATAGAGGGGTCAGTGCTCTAATCAGGACAAAGGGAAGGACTGGGCCAGCTACTGAAAAATATCCAGCTGCCCAAAATGGCAGACTCCTGAGGGGAGCAAGCTGTTGGTGAGCTCACTGCCTACCTTGCGTGTGGCAAGGACCTTATTCTTGCTGCCGAGAGTGGGTAGGAGGGGTACAGGGTGGCTGCTGCCATGTATTTGCCACCATGTCTTTGCCGTTCTTCCTCCATTCAGTACTCCCTTCCACCTTTTCTTCTCTCCCCTTTTTTCTTGATCCGTGTATAAATGCAAGTGAAGCCTTCGCCCCACGTCTTCAAGACTGCCACAGTTAATTTCTTAGCTGCTTGTGTTTCGTAAACTGTCATGGCTTTTGTAACACTGATGAAGACCTTGCCTTTGCAGATCCACCCAAAGATGGTCCTTCTGTGCCAGACAGCTCGGCATCACATCCTGATTTCTCATTCACATACAGCTGAGAGTCACACTTAGCCAAACTGGGAGGTGTGGTGAAACCTGAGAGGTGAAATGTTTGCAGAGATAAGATGTGGTGGGACTGTGCTGTCTACAAGAACTCACACTTTATAGCTTATGTAAAGTCTATTCTAACTTGGAGTGGATGGTTCTGCAGCAGGTCAATACTGCACAAGCTAATTCCAGAGGGGGTTAGACTCTGGCTGTCTAAAGGCAAATTTTGGTTGGAATAATGTGTGAAGGTCTGATTTTCAAGTTTCCACTGGCCATGCAGTTCAAAGACATCCTGGATTTTCAAATATTTCTTAATCTGTGTTCTAGTTCTAGTACTATGTCTACACCTCCAAGCAAAAAGAAATTGCTTTCCATGTAAATAATACATTTGATTGATGCTTGTTTATTGTCTTCAATCATCACCACCTGCCCATACCAAACCATCACACATGCCTGTAACTGTAGGCAACAGTTTCACATCCCGGTTCATCCCAAGGTCCCGGGAAGAGGTTCACCACTGGTAAACGCAGGCCTGATTACCCAGCAACCAAATGGGGCTGTACTACCTGACGGCAGTATTTGATGTTGGGCTCAAATCTAATTCTTCACAATTCCTTCTCTCGTATTTTACATTAAGTTTTGAAATGTTTGTGTGCACTGTAAATACTTTGCAGGCTCTCTCATAGCCCTCTGCTTAAGACAGGAGTCCTGCCTTTAAAGGTGTACAGGCATGGAAAGAACTGATTCCACAAATGTAGTAGTAGAGCAATAATTTATATAAAACCTTTCATCCTGCCTGGCACATGGTGGTTTATATTCACTGCAGAGTTGACTCTCTGAACCCTCGAAGTGTGAGTCTCCTCTGAGAGGAGACCCAAACATACATACTTTACACAGAAGACTCCTTGCATACTCAACACTACTATGCATTACTACATGCAGTCCACTCTGTGGTAGAGGGCAGCAACCATCTCTGTCTTACCACATTACATATCAAAGGAAGGACAAGTATAGTTAAGGATATAAAGCTTCCTTTTCTTCAAAAAAGTGCCACATTGAGCTTTCAGTACATTCCATCTGAAAGAAGACCACGCAGGAATCATCACGGTCTTCATTTTATCTAAGTAAAAAGTGAAGATCTGAAATGGACCTTCCTAGCTGTGAATCTTTGGTTCCAGAAAATCTTAAATAGAAAGTGGAGAGCACTATACCCTATGGCCTTTCCAGACTCTAATAGGAAGGCAGGAGAGAAGCTACGAGGTACCTGTGTATCTACACAGGCCTTTGGAATCATTCAGAGAGTTGATAGCGAAGATACTAAAACCACTGGAAAACAGCTGTGTATAGCACTGCAATTCATGGCTCAGTACTGCATAGTGCTAAGCACCCTCTTAAAGGCTGAGAATCCTTCACTCCCAATGTCTTTTCCAGCACTTAAAAGCCTTCAAATCCTTCCAAGTTTGAAACATCTTGTCATCTCTTTTGGGATTGGCAGCCTCTGTAAAATTCCACCTCTCAAAGCTTCCCTGCCTTACACGTTAACCAGAAATGATTATTCCAGAAGAATGCACCAAGGCACAGTTTAGTCAAAGTGAAGCAGCCCACTTCCTGATGACTCACAGGTGCTTTTTGTGTCTTGGAAAGGGCAGAGGTCCTTTCAGAGTTACATGATTTAGCATTTGCAGTGCCTCAGTTAAGCAAAGAATATGACTTGGAAGTGTTTTCAGAGGAAGAGGTGGATGGCTCTGAAGATGATACTCTGTATTTTCCTGCAAAACAAAGCATAGTGATTAGACACGTAGCATGGGACATGTTGGCACTGCAAATTAAGGACAGTTAGACCTGTCCTTATGACCCAGGTGGCTTTGACTTGATCTGCAGCGTGATGCTAGCTGGATTACAGCAGTATCAGCAATCACAGCAGTCAACGTGTTTGGTGGCATGGCCAGGGTATGTCAGCTTGAACTGACGATCTTGCCACAGGGTAGTCATTTACACAATGGAGGGACTCAGTTGTCTTCCTTGGATGCATGGGGATGCATCTAGAACACATGATTTTGAGATGAATCCCAGCTCCCTCCTTCATGTGACCACGAGGCTCTGAACTAAGACCCAGGTGCAGAGCCCAAGAGCAGAGTGTGGAAGAGAGTGCTAATAATGTGGGAGTTTCACGTGGCAGCAGCATGGGAGGCAGTTGTGGGCAAGTCTCGTTCTTCTGGTTGGTCTCACTCTCACTGTATCTGGTTAGTGTGCTCATGTAAACTCACTGTAGCACAGTCAGAGACCAACTTCTTGTTCCCTTATCTGACTAATAAACAGACTTTTAAAAAGCAGTTGCTTGCCTACATTAAATCCTTCATATCCCACTCTGACTAAATGTCACCATCTTCTCTGAGCAATGGTTGGATGCAAAGATTGGATGTTTAGGAATTTACTCATATTTTCAGCGATGCTTCTTGCAAAATAAAATCATAACTGAAATGGTGACATCCATAAAATGACTGTGAGAGAACTTTTGAAGAGATACAACTCCAAGGCGGTGAGTAGTATATGAACAGTAAATGAACTGAGGAGCACTGTGTCATGACATCATTAAGCTCAAAACAAATCTCAGTTCGTGGGTTTTAGAACTGGTGAAACACGCCACCATCCAATACTTGTTTTAGTGTTGACAATCACGCTGCTAGCATTATGCTACAATCAGGAGCAGTTATGCCAGTGATTCCAATGACTTTTTATAGTTCCTTTGTACTAGAAGATGAAATACCATCTATAGACGAATTGATAGATTAAATGATTGATAGATATCAGGGTAGGCAGATCCTGAGAGTGAGAAAGCAGGCAAAACTTTGTGCTTCAGTAGGAGAGATATATTGTCACATACCTGTTTTCCCGCATATGTTGTTAAAGGTTCTTGAAAATGGATAGCTCATAGCGAGCATTGGTGTCACCAGGATCAGGGAGGATGACTGTAAAAGAGAAAATAGCTTTCTGTCAAAAGCCTAGAACTTCCTTTGTAGCCACATTGAGGGTGAAAAAGGGGTTACAATAAAATGTTGTTCAGTAGTACAAGCAGGCAATACCCAGAGAAACAAGTTAGATGTTTGTGAGGCATCAAGTTCACCCATTTGCATGTTTATGATGCCAATGAAGGAGATAAACTTCGTAAGATACCACAGGACACAAAGACCCTGTCTCTAACTGCTGGCCAGGGAACATGGCTTAGGCTCCCGAGTCTGCCATATCAGACAGTAGAGAGCTCTGGACCCTTATCTGAGGGAGTATATCCATTAAGGTAGTGAGAAATCTAAGACTTATATGCTTAGGGATGGTCATTGAAGGCCAATAGCCTGAGATAATCAGCCGCAAATTTAATTTAACACACTAGAGGGCATTGGAACACAACTCTACAGTCTAGATGGGGCGAAAGAAACTTTTTGATGGTGAAATTAAGTTTCCTTTTCAGTTCTGGAATGGTTTGAGAGTTTAATGGGATTCCTCCAAAGCATGTGTTAAAAGAAAAGCATGGAAAACACGTCTTTTTCTGTTCAGTCCCTCTTCTGTTCATTAGGTTGTACCATGGTGGGGGAAATTAGGCAATCCTGTGCATTGTCACCTATATCATAAGGTGGTAGAGGAAGAAGGTAAATGAATCAGATCTAAAAAGTTTGATCAAAGGTTTTATTTATTCCTTATCAGTAGAACTGCTAAGGAAATACGCCAATTGCCACTGACTGGGACAGCTTCCACAGTGTCAGCTAGAGTTGGAACAGTCTGGCCCAGGAGATTCTGTCTGAAAAGGAATTCAGCATTGGGGTCCAAGACTTAACAACTTGTTCTCTCTACTTTGTTGGATGTGCCAGTAGAGGAGGGAATGAAGAAACTGACATGCTTAGTGATAGTTGTATCAGTTATTTCTGCCTTCCTTCCAGTTTTCTGGGAAAACAGAGTTTTTCCAACAGTCAGAAAAGCACCACATCGAGCAGATGTACTTTTCATGGCAGAAAGAAGGAATGGTGCTAAAAATTACATTAGGAAATGTTCCCAGACCTTGATTCCCAGGAGTCATCCTCCTGCAGAAAACGCTGGAATACTTGGAGTACCAGTTAAAAAAAAAAAAAAAATCCAGATGGATGATTCTGGGGATCCTAAATGAAGAAACATGAGGCAGAAACTGCATCTTTCCTGTCTCGTTCTGACACAAGATCTGAATGTGGCAGATGGTTGGAGCACTTAAAACTTACAGAGCTGTTCTGCCTGGCTAAGCACAGGCTGCCTCCTGCCAGGCCTTCAGCACACTGCTGGAGGAGACACGTGCAGAGGTCACTACTGGGTCCAATACTGGTTTAACATCTTCATTAATGACACAGATGATGGGAAAAGTGCACCCTCACCAAGTCTACAGATGATACAAAACTGGAAGGAGTGGCTGATCGATCAGATGAGCCTGCTGTCATTCAGAGGAACTTCAACTGGCTGGAGAAATGGGATGACAGGAATGTTATGAAGTTCAGCAAAGGGAAATGTGAAGTCCTCCTGTCCCTGAGGAGGAACAAGCCCACACACCAGGACATGCTGAGGGCCGTCTGACTGGAAAAGAGTAAAGACAGAGCCAGACTTTTCTCACTGGTGCCCACTGAAAGGACAAGAGGCAGTGGGAATGGAGACAGAGCCAGACTTTTCTTGTTTGTGGCCAGTGAAAGGACAAGAGGTGGTGGGAACAAATAGAAATACAGGAAATCCCACTTAAAAAGAAATTTATTCACTGTGAAGGTGGTCAAACACAGGAAGAGGCTGCACAGAGAGATTGTGGAGTCTCCATCCTTGGAGCTACTCAAAACCCAACTGGACACAGCCTGGAGCTCTAACTGACCATGCTCTGAGTGAGAGGGTGGTATGATCTGGCTGATCTCTGGAGGTACTTTCCAACTTCAGCAATTCTGTGATTCTTGTGGAAGCTGGAGTGATTTGAGTCAATGATGCTCCGCTGAGCTGACAGTCCGGCCTTAATGGATTCCTTAATTCCTTTGAGGCTATGTAGCCTTCTGTGTTAGTTACGCTGGTTTTTAAGTCTGCTTTTCAGTTCTTTAGAAATACCTTTACAGGCTTTTCTGAATAAACCCTGTTCAGATACCAATATAAAACTAAGTTCTGTTGTCATATAAGAGTAATGATAGCATTTACCACTATTCTCTTTTTCTGCCCCAAGTACCAGTGCTTAGATTCTGATGCCTTCGATCCCTTACCCACCCTGGAGTGGCTTCTTTGGTGAGGGATTATGAATGCAGAAGTGTAAGTTGAAACAAGCATTTATTTGTTAGAATACACAGAGTTATCCATCCTCAAATAACCACTCCACATAGAGGTATTTTATTCCCGTTGGCTGAACCTTTTCTATATTCTGTGTCTGGGAATGTGGCCCCTCTTGTGCAGAAGTAGAGATGAACACACCTTGGGCATCACGAGGAAGAGAATAACAAATAACTCTGCAGCTGTAACATGTCTTCAACCAGCACAGATCTTCATGAAGTGAATACTAGTCCACAGCCTCAGCTCTTGGCTCTCTCCTAGAGCTGTAAGACTCGTTCGGGGCTACTGAGGCTATGACCGCCCTGTGTGGTCGGCCTCCTACATTCTTCTGTAGGAGGTTTGTCACATCTCATTGTAAAAGCAGCTAATTGTGTGTGTTTCCTCCTATCTTCACACTGAGACACCATTGCCCAACCTTTCTAATGGGTGGTGGTTGATTAATCCATAAGCAGATTTGCCCTTTGTTGGATCCAAGGATCCTCCAGCCCAGTGGCTTCTTGTCCACTGTGGGCTACAGCAGAGGCCTGAGGGAAGGGTTTCACAAAAGCAAAGCAAGCTTGTAGCAGCACATCTTCAGAATGTTCTTTCCACTGCTGGTAGTCAGAGGTGCAGGGACTTCTGGAGGCAGAAGCAAGACCTTGCTGTTTAACAGCCCTTAATGGCCTACTATGGTTGGCCTTCTCAGCTGCGAGCACACATTCACAGAATTCACAGAATTGTTAGGGTTGGAAGGGACCTCTGGAGATCATCTAGTCCAACCCTCCTGCCAGAGCAGGGTCACCTACAGCACGTTACACAGGACAGCGTCCAGGCGGGTTTTGAATGTCTCCAGAGTGGGAGACTCCACCACCTCTCTGGGCAGCCTGTTCCAGTGCTCCACTACCCTCAAAGTAAAGAAGTTCCTTCTCATGTTAAGATGGAACTTCCTATGTTCAAGTTTATGCCCATTACCCCTCGTCCTATCACTGGGTGCCACTGAAAAAAGACTACTCCCATCCCCCTGGCATCCTCCCATTAAGTATTTGTATGTATTAATAAGATCCCCCCTCAATCTTCTTTTCTCTAGACTAAAGAGACCCAAGTCCCTCAGCCTTTCCTCATAAGAAAGGTGCTCCAGTCCCCTAATCATCTTTGTTGCCCTTTGCTGGACCCTCTCCAGCAGTTCCCTGTCTTTCTTGAACTGGGGAGCCCAGAACTGGACACAGTACTCCAGATGCGGTCTCACCAGGGCAGAGTAGAGGGGGAGGATGACCTCCCTCGACCTGCTGGCCACACTCTTCTTGATGCACCCCAGGATGCCATTCGCCTTCTTGGCCGCCAGGGCACATTGCTGGCTCATGGTCATCCTGTTGTCCACCAGGACTCCCAGGTCCCTCTCCACAGAGCTGCTCTCCAGGAGGTCAGCCCCCAACCTGTACTGGTGCATGGGGTTATTCCTCCCCAGGTGCAGTACCCTACACTTACCCTTGTTGAACTTCATAAGGTTTCTTTCTGCCCAACTCTCCAGCCTGGCGAGGTCACGCTGTAAGGCAGCACAGCCTTCTGGCGTGTCAGCCACTCCTCCCAGTTTTGTGTCATCAGCAAACTTGCTGATGGTACACTCTATCCCTTCATCCAGATCATTGATGAATATGTTGAACAAAACTGGGCCCAGTACTGACCCCTGAGGGACACCACTTGTTACTAACCTCCAACTAGACTCTGCGCCACTAACCACAACCCTCTGAGCTCTATCTGTGAGCCAGTTCTCAATCCACCTCACCGTCCATTCATCTAAGCCACACTTCCTAAGCTTTCCTGTGAGGATGATGTGGGAGACAGTGTCGAAAGCCTTGCCAAAGTCAAGGTAGACAACATCCACTGCCCTCCCCTCATCCACCCATCTAGTTACTTTGTCATAGAAGGCTATCAGATTAGTCAGACATGACTTCCCCTTGGTGAATCCATGTTGACTACTTCTGATAATCTTCTTTTCATCCAGGTGCTTTGAGATGACTCCCAGAACAAGCTGCTCCATCATCTTCCCAGGGATGGAGGTGAGGCTGACCGGCCTGTAGTTTCCCGGGTCATCCTTCCTGCCCTTTTTGAAGACTGGAGTGACATTGGCTATCCTCCAGTCCTCAGGCACCTCACCTGTCCTCCAGGACCTTTCAAAGATAATGGAGAGAGGCCCAGCAATGACTTCCCCCAGCTCCCTCAGCACCCGAGGGTGCATCCCATCAGGCCCCATGGATTTATGTATATCCAATTTATCTAACTGATCTTTAACGTGCTCCTTGTCAACCAAGGGATAGTCTTGTTTCCCCCAGACTTTCTCTGTTACCTGCAAAGTCGGGGTCTCACAAGGACTGGCCCGAACAGTGAAGACAGAAGCAAAGAAGGCATTTAGCAACTCCGCCTTCTCTGCATCATCCGTCACCACAGCACCTGTCTCATTCAACAACGGGCCCACATTTTCCCTAGTTTTCCTTTTGTCTCCTATATACTTAAAGAAACCCTTCCTGTTGGCCTTGACATCCCTCGCCAGGTTCAATTCCAAGGCTGCCTTGGCTTTCCTTGTTTCCTCCCTGCATACCCTGACAGCATTCTTGTATTCCTCCCAAGCAGTCAGCCCCTTCTTCCACCTATTGTAAACTCCCTTCTTCCACCTGAGCCTTTTCAGAAGGTCCCTGCTCAGCCAAGCAGGTCTCCTTCTCCCCTTGCCTGATTTCTTTCTCTTTGGGATGCACTGATCCTGAGCTTGGAGGAGGTGACGCTTAAATAGCAGCCAGCTCTCTAGAGCCCCCTTACCCTCTAGAGCCCTTTCCCATGGGATTTGCCCAAGCAATTCTTTGAAACGATCAAATTTAGCCCTCCTGAAGTTTAGGGTTTCAACTCTACTTGTCATTTTGTCTATTCTACACTTAATCCTGAACTCTATCTTCTCATGATCGCTGCAGCCCAGTCTGCCCCCAACCTTTACATCCTCCACCAGTCCCTCTTTGTTTGTGAGTATCAGGTCCAGTAAAGCACCTCTCCTTGTAGGTTCCTCCACCACCTGAGTCAAAAAGTTGTCATCAATGCACTGGAGGAACCTCCTGGACTGTATGTGCCCAGCTGTGTGGCCTTCCCAGCAGATATCAGGGTAGTTGAAGTCCCCCATGAGAATCAAGGCTTTCACAAAATGAAGTAAACTACAAGAAAACTTAGGAAAGCGTCAAACATCCACAACACCCAGGAGCAAGGACGTCTGTATCTGCTTTGAATCTGCCACTCATTAGGGTCTGTTTTGGTCCTTAATTATCAAAATGGATGGTGTATTTTCTCCATGGCCACGTAGCAGCATACATCACTTTTACATTCCCCATCAGCTGTCTAGGCTGAAGAGTCCTATGTCATTCTAGCACAGCAGGCATCCCACCTCTTTGGCACTTGTTCTGCTCTGCATCTTTCCAATTGGGCCGTATCTTTTTTTGAACTTAATTAAGCTCAGTTGTCCCCATGCCAGCATTTCCCTGTGGCTTAAATAGCTCTGCCTGCCTTTAGGCACTTGGACTAAAGGCCTATGATGCCATGAGGTGTGTGGAGGTGAAGGACGCACGGAGAGAGGAACCAGGAGCTGGTAAAGATTAGAAGGTGTGAAGGGAGCAGATACGTGGCTGGCACAGGACAGTTTAGCTCCATGGCTGCCCAGTAGCTTATAGCAGCTGAGCACCATTTTATCCTTTTCAAACAGCCACTGAGAATTTTTTACTGGAGTCTTGATGTCTGGAGCACAAATTAAAATGGAAGAAATTCCATTTAATCATAAGAAAAACTTTAGGGTTTTTTTATGGTGAGGGTAGCAAAACACCACAGCTTTTTGTCCAAAGAGTCCAAAGTGGATTCTCCAGCTTTAGACATACTGAAAACCCGATGGGACAATGTCCTAAGCAACCTGCTCTAGTTTATCTTGCTTTGAGCTGTAGGTTTGGAATAGATGATCTCTGGAGGTTCTTTCCAACCTCAGCTGTTCCATGACTCCGTGACATCTCTGTTCCACAGGAATGCTGCCTGTTTCTGTCCTAATTGTATTTCTCAGTAGTCATTTTCCTGAGGCACTGTGCAAACTTTATTTTTTCTTTTAAAGGTGGTAGTGGAACTGTTTTCCCCTTCAATGTGAATGCCTATCCTGAGCAGAGGCATTTCCAGATGCCCACTCAAGCTGTGCTTCAATGCAAAGATGAGTGCAAGTGTCATTGGGCCAGAGGAAGTCTCTGCAGAAGGAAAAGAAGCTTTCCAGGATCTTCTTTAAGGATTCGGTCCCTGTTTGCAACATTTTTATTTTTTTTTTAGGCACTGAATATTTTGGGTTAAATGCAGGAATTGTTGGGTATGGAACGCAAGTCTCTTCTCTTCTAGGAGTGTGTCCAGGCCACTTGGTTCCAGAACATTCATTTATATTCTATCTTTTGCTCATTGAAATCTGAGTTTTTGCTGCACAGAGACACATTTTGATGAAAGATTCATACTTCCACCCATTGTCTGTTCCCAGTATAAAGAGCAGGCTAACCTGTCTGCTTGTCTCAGGAGTTCAAGTTGCAATATCTCCATCCTTTCCAGCCCATAGCTGATGGGCATCTTCCCCAAGAAGTTCCCTTTGCATTTCTCTTAGATTGTGAATCATTAATGGTGCCACTGAAATTTTCTGTTTTCTAGCTTAAAATTTCAGTTACATTTTGTAGTTTATTTCTTGTGGAATTTAGAGCTAATATCCACCAGCCTCCTCCTCATTTTTTAACAGTTATAGGTGAAATAATGAACTTTGAAAAAGGGGGTATATTCATATTTATGTTGTTCATGTCTTCTCTTTCTCTGACTAGTTCTAATAAATAATTCAGAATATAAAGTGCATTTGACTTAAAAGACACTTGGAAAACGTTAGACTAGTCAGCAGTAACTCTGAAATACATTCTTAGGTCAAAGTTCTAACCTTTGTTTGCTGTGAACTCCATTTGGACATTGAATTCCTCTTCAGCAGGGCTTCTTGTATCTATTTGTTAAAAAAAAAAAATATCAGTAAATACAGAAATTATGTTCAAATTCCAACAGTATTTTCACATAATATAAGAAATAGTTTGAATTCTTACCTTCTTGTCCCAGAGAGTCCCAAACACCAAAATGAATAATCCCTAGAAGACAGATAATTACATGCAGTTGGATGACACCAAACTTTTAATTGCAGTGCCTCATCGTTATCTCAAACATTGTCTGTGTTGACTATTTAAACTCTGAACTTTTTGATAGAGGGCATTTTACTAACTGTGTCTTTCCTAATGAACTGCTGATGTGGTAGGTGTTCTCCAGGCCTGGTCTGCTTAAACTGTGTGCATATCTGGTCTGCAAAAGTGACACAGATGGTTTGCTAGCACTAAATGTATTTGGAAGAAGGGACCTTTATGTATGGACGACATGCCCTGCTTATGCTCCCCAGATAAGCTAGCAGGCTCACAATATAAAAGGCAAGAGAGTTTGGTCTAAAGCATGCAATTTTGAGGCCATTCTTAAGAGACAGAGTATACATAACTATTGTGTCCTTAAGAAATCCCGTTGTATTGGGATCCTACTGGCCACCTAAATATGTTGTTGTAAAAATCATACTAACTGGAAACTCCCAAGCATGTGTATTTGCTTAGTTCTCCTCTTCATTATTAGAACTACTTAGCTGTTCTTGGTGACTTTCATGTTGTTTATATTGTCCCATGACTTGAACCCACAAGAGTATAATATGATGTCTCCAGATGCACTGTAAATGAGACCAGACATGCTGAAACTTGCCGGCCTGAACATAATAGGGCTATTTTCCTGATCTTCAGGAATGACATCCTTCCCAAAGCTACTGGCAAAGTTGGACATTATCTTTATATGAGCTTTATGTATAACACACCTCTGTCAAGGCAGCTGAGAATGAGAAATACAGCTGAATTTCTAGAACGGATTTCCAAAGAGCCCTTTGAGAATAACGAAGTGTAAGGCAACCCTGAGCTTTCCCAAGCTGTTTTTATTCCCCCTCCAAGCAGACCACTGCCAGAATGTCACTATATGTTGAATGGTAATAGAGGAAATAAAACCATACACCATGCAGGTGTAACTCACCTGCAAAGTATTGAGCAGAACGAAGAGGATGTGGAACGCTCGATGGCTGTTTTTGATGACAGTGACAAGGCCCAATCCCCAAGTGAGGCCTAGCAGTGATGTCAAGATGGCCACACTTTTGCCAATTTGAAGCAAAGAGTTCCTCTCCTGCCTGTTTGATCTATCCCCAATATTTGGCCTCAGTATTTTTATTATAACAACTGCAGTGATGAATAAATTCATGGCCACAATGATCAGGGCAGGTACGACGAAGGCCAGGAGAGCTTTGCTCTCCTCCCACTTGAGCCAACAGACATCATTTCTGGTGTAATTATTCCTTGGCAGTGTGACAGCAATGGTGATGACTGCAATGACAAAGGGGCATCCATATCCCAGACAGAATGCCACTGCTTTCTGAATGGTCTTGCTTGTGTTATGCAAGATGAAGACCAGTCTGTAGAAAAGAATGAGGCCCAGGCTGAGCATCCAGAAAAAGACACACAGGTAGAATAAATGGATGAAGAACGTGGCCACGAGACAGACATCTCTGCTCATCTGTTGGTTTTGGTTACTGATGGAGGCAGTGACAATGAACCAAATGTCAGCAATCAGGAGTGATGTAGCTATGTTGAGTATACAGACATGGCGCATATAGGAGGTTGTGTTGTTTGTCACGTATTTCCAGACTAAGGATTCAACTATAATGCAGGTCACCAAACTCAAGATTGAGATGGCCAGGCCAATGTAGGTAATATAATCTTCAAAGTCTACCCGGGACCGTATATCAGGTGACATCAGAATGGAGAATGATGTCAAGTGGTTGCAGGAGCAATTGACGTAATCTTCTTCCTCTGTGAATGTGCAACCCTGAGTATCCCAGCCGCCCCCTGATCTGTTGAGTTTGAAGTTCCAAAAGACACACTGAGGTTTCTTTAGAGATAAGTCTTGCTTTGCAAAGGTCATATTAATATCGAACTTCTGGTTTCCGCTGCTTCTTACAGTTGTTGTTAACAGTAAGCCATTCACATACTGGGTCCCATGCTGGGGCAAAATATGTCCAAGTCTTGAGGACATCACACTGACAATGGTTGAATTCTGGGTTCCAATTGAATTTTCAGTTGAATCAATGAACACATTAACTGTGAGGTTTTCTGCACTGTGGAAGATCTTATTATAATTTGTGTTGCTATTTTCTGTCACCATACCTTGTAGCTGAAGGGTTTTTGCCTTGACAAAAGGAATGGTATTATCAACTGGTTGGAGGTTCAGGGTAAAATTTTCTACTGATCCCAGCAATGAAGAACTTTTAGGTTCTTCGCTGTTATTCAGGACTTCCCAAGTCTCAGTTGTGGACTCAGCAACAATGTCCACTACGGAAAGGAAATACTGGAACAACAACAGAATAATGCTGTTACTGAAATCCCATACAAATAATTGTTGTTTCTGATGGTAATTTCTGTGTCGTCCTAGAACTGCCTTTTATAAAAGCCCAGCATTTTCTTATTTTGCTCAATCCATATGAAACCTTCAGTTGTTAACCCTCTGCTTGCTCTATTTTCAAGTTAAGGTTTCCAAAAGTGGAGTTGTGTGGCTTTTTAAAAAACATATTACTTATGCTTTCCCTTCTTTCTCAGCCTTTATGCTATCTTTGATTTCTTGCTCTCTCTCATGTAGTGTTCTCCAGCTACAAAACATTAAGTCTCTTTGTAATTTTTGCTCAGAAAAGCACTGTTTTTCCTCTGTACCTCACAATCAGTTTCCAACTATTTCTAAGATATGTTTTGCCATTAATTTGTTGTAACATCTAATTGATTTTCCTTGGTCGATCCCTATCCTTATTTCAACCCTTTTTTCTATTTCATCTCTTACTCATTGAATCACAGAATCACAGAATAGTTTCGACCTTTAAAATTCATCCAGTCCAACCCCTCTGCCATGGGCAGGGACATCCTATCTGACCATGAACACTTCCAGTGATGGAGCACCCACCACTTCTCTGGGCAACCTGTGCCAGTCTCTCACCACCCTCAGAGTAAAGAATTTCTTTTTTACATCCAATCTAAATCTACCCTCTTTCAGTTTAAAACTGTTGCCCCTCGTCCTGTCTCTACAGGGTCTGGTAAAAAAGTCTTTCTCTGTCTTTCTTATAAGCCTCCTTTAAGCATTGAAAGTCCCCCCAGAGCCTTGTCTTCTCCAGGCTGAACAATCCCAACTCTCTCAGCCTGTGCTCACAGCAGAGGTGCCTCAACCCTCTGATCACCTTCGTGGCCCTCCTCTGGACCGGCTCCACAGGTCCATGTCGTTCTTGTGCTGAGGGCCCCAGAGCTGGATGCAGTACTCCAGGTGGGGTCTTACAAAAGCAGAGTGCATGGGAGAATCACCTCCCTTGACCTGCTGGCCATACTTTTTTGTTATACAGCCCAGTGTACAGTTGGCTTTGTAGGCTGCGAGCGCACGTTGTAGCCACGCATATAATTTTTCATCCATCATTCCTTGCCCTTTCCTCTAACTTAGAATGCTAGAGACACTTATGGGTCCCTAAAAGATTTCTAGTTGCTAAGCATACAGCAGTCTCTCTTTCATGCATAGGCTCCCTGTCTTCATCATTTTGATTTTTCATAAACTCTTCTGTATCTTTGCTGTTATTTCATCTTTGCTGTCATTTCACCTCATTTCCCTTAATACTTTCCTGCTCCTGATCCTAACTAACTATGGATTTTCTTCAGGGGGAACGTCATTCTCTGTGACAAAAGGGGGGAAAGGGCTTAATAGGTACAGATAAGACTTAAAATAAAACCTTACTTCAATAGTGAGCGGCTCTGCATCTGCTGGGATAGAGGACACCATCTGTAGGATGCTAACGACTGCACCTACATTTGCAGAAGAATTGTGTAATATGCCTTTCTCCATTCCTGTTGTTTCATTAAGCTTTTTAAGGTAGATAGGTAGTTCTTTTCTGGCAGGACTGTTGAACAAGGACTGAAACAGAAGATAACAATACATCATATGTGCACAATTTGCCTGGAGCTTGATCCTTATAATGGCTACCCCCATACTAATAAAATAAACAGATCCAGGGTCATTCAAGACATGCTGGTAGTGTTCAACTCTCTGGCCCTCCAGAACAGGGTATCCTAACCGCCTGTTGAGAGTGGTCTCTCATCTGTGCTAACTTGTAGACTGCTCCTGGAAATTTTGGGGGTAGAAAATAGTTGGCCTGGGCCCAAACCATATGAGGGAGCAATCTAGCAAGTTAAGAAAATACATGATTAAGTAGCTATACCTCTGCCTGGGACCCTGCTGTGCCTAATTTACTAAAATAAGTATAGTACTTATTTGATGAAAGAAAGATAATTGTTCTCATCTAACCTCACTGAGAGAAGGGTGACTCTGGGTGGTTTGTAGAAGTGAAGAGCACTACGATAGGATACCTAGGCTGAAAACTCAGGCCCAGCACCTGTCTGTGAAGTGTAGCGACCGAGGGGGGCATGCTAAACGGGGCCTGGGTCTGAGATTGGGCAGTGGCCCAGAGCTGTCCCTACTGCATCGTTGTTGGTGTACTCTGTTGCATGGTTTGGACTTGTGCCTACTAGCATTCACTGAGGCAATGCCTGAGCATGGTTCAGGGAACACCTCAGGACAGCCACTGCTCCTGCTGGAGGCTATGAATAAGGTCACCTTGTCTGGGGGAGAGAGCGTTCAGCTGTAGGGATGTTAGCCATACGGTGCCACGTGGCCTCTGGGCCAGGGAAGGAGACCTAGCTTCTTTGACTGACTTGTGTAGACATAGTCAATCATTCTTTAGATCTTCTAAAGACAGTTTTAATTAAATAATTGATTTTTGAATGCTTCATATATTTTAGATTATGTTAAGCACAAAAACACCCAACAAAAATTGTCGCTGTCTCCTACCGCCCCCACCCCGAACCTCCAGAAAAGTCATAAATGTTACCTCGGCATCATCCAGAAGTTTGTTTATTGCTACAGACAGGCAGTTACGCTTTTCAAGCACCCATAATTTGTTGCAGCACTTGTAAATTCTATTGCCTTGGACGCAATCATCTATGTTATTTAACTCACAGCATGGCTTTATTAATGTGTCCCCTTCCATTCCAACACCATCGCTGTCTGAGCAGGAAACTTCTTTCTTACCTGTATTGTGAAAAAGACAAGAAAACTAAGAAGCAGGGAGGAATAATTTACCCCCATCAAACCTGTGACGTCCTGAAGTTCAGAGGTCTTTAAATTAGTTAGGATTTCAACTTGCTCTCTTCATTAATTGTGACCTTTCAGGCAGTATATGTCTTGCATTCCCAATTTTTTGGAACCATGAAATTAAAAAGGAAACTGAATAAAGCCCCTTGTTTTTGGGTGCTGAATCAAATCAACAAACCAATACCCAAAGTTTTAGGATTTGTCTGTTAGATCACAGGGTTAGATAGAAGTGGACTGAGATTATATTGACCACTATGTGAACAGTAATTCACACGAAGTTTATTCTGCTAAGGGACACAGTGCTGCTGAAGCACTAATAGGGAATTCAATAAGACCTTGATAGTGAGGCCTCAGCACCTTTTTGATGAACAGTAAGTCTTGCTAATTGGCTTTAATCAGGTTAGTCATATCAGTAAGTACCTGCTGATTAAAGGAAATAAAGTGTCTGCATATTTATTGCCTAAGAGGGTGAAATCTGGCCAGATACAGTGATTCAACAGTAGGCACCACTAGTGTGGAAAAGAGAAAATTTCTGCATTATGGGGATGTCCGACATTTCTTTCTTTCCAATTTAGAATAAGAAGCTGAAATATCCAAACTCTGGTCAGAACTAAACGTCAAAATTGGCTTTACCAATGTTGAATTCTAATCACCCAGCACCTCCTGCAGAGCTGACGGGATGCTGGGTCTGCCCAGGGCTCTGCAACACCTCATGGAGTTTGCCATTCTTGTGTTTAAAGTGGATGTGCTCTCCCACAGGCTGACCTCCTGAGCTAGGTGACTTCCTCTTGAGGCACCCCAATCTTTTGTCCTTGCTAAATTGTTGGTGCAAGCTGGAAGATGCGTGACCACATGTCAACACGGGAGGCAAGCTGGTTGTTGCAGGTTGCACCAGAAGGAAGCAGGGACAGAAGATGACTGAACTAGAACTGCTTGGGAACACACTGAGGCTTCTGTCAAATACAGTGAATATATTTATTTTTTCGTTAAATAGCAGCAAAATCAATATTTTCTTCTGCATTTCAAAATTTCCTGTCAAAAAAGGAGACAAAAATTCTCAGCTAAAAAAACCTGCTCCTGGTAGGTGCCACCGGTGATAAATTTGTGGAATTTGATTTCAGGAAGATACTGTGATTTCCTATTTAACAGCTTTAAATAGTAAATTTTTTCTTACCAGGTATCACTTTCAGTGTTATATTATTACTGTTGACCTCCTGGTTAATGCTGTTAATAAACTTGCAATACGATGTGAGCTTTTTCATTTTATTACATTCTCCTTCTGTGTAACTGGACGTGTAGCATAACAAATTTCCTTTTGGCTTTCTCTCTGTATGGAAGGATTAAGATAGGTTAACACAGATTTGGGGTAAATCGGCTGGCAGACAGCAAGAAGCTTCTGCGAAACTTTCTTTTCTGTGGGTTCTAGAGAAAAAAAAACTTCCTTTGTGGAAAAACTCCTATTCTGTATGCTGATGTCTGTCTCTTACTCCCCACTTAATGAATCTTCTGGCATCTGCTGCATGAGCAGTACACTTTCAATTACTCGCATATGAGCAAATCCTGCCCAAACCCTCTTTTATTGTGCAGGAACCAAAATTTGCTTTAGAAACCATTTTGGAGAATACTCTTCCTGCTTCTGCTTCTACCACAGGCGTTTCGTTTAGGCTAGGATACTTTTTTGCTGTTCTTATATGATTCTTTTGAACTGAGGATCTGTACCATGCTCCCATTGCTTTTCAGCCTGAGTGTTCCTGACTGCAATCTCCTCCAGGAAGATTTTGGGATTTGTCTTAGCAACTGAAGGACCGCTCAGTCTCCACCTGCTTTACACTTCAGCCTGTTTTTGCACTCCTGGATGTTTTGTGACTTAGTTTAGGTGGCTCTTCTTTGATTTTTTTTTCTTTTCAAATTAACTGTTTTGTAATCCACTTGAAAATATCTAGTATATAAAAACATGCCAGGGAAGCTGCAGAGCTGCGCTAAATTTGAAGACATAGAAGGTTGGGCTTTTGTGCTGTTACAGCTATGTCACCCGTACCCTTGAAGAAACTAGTTCTTTGAGTTCCATTCTTAATGTGTTATTCTACATTTTTCAATAATTGGTGCACCATCCTCTTAAGTAACATTTCCTCGATACTGAGTTCAAAAAAGGGGCAGAGTGGAAGATAAAAGCAAATAAATGGAGTTCAGCAATTTCTAATCTGAACAGTGATGAGGATGCTCACTTCTCACTGCCTGGCAAGGCAAACCAAACATTGAATTTACCTACTATGTGTTTATCACTACAGTTGCTCTTCAATTAATCTCAGCCATTCTCCCCAGGGATGGCAACCATCCTTAAAAAAGCCCCTTTCCTTTTTTTCACACTCTCAGGACTACTTGCAGGTTGTCATAATATCAGGAAGTATGAATTGGTTACACAGACCTAACTGAAAACAAAAAAAACCCAGGGACTGGGTTGTGAAACATAGTGCAGCTATGCAAGTTTATTGTTCCTTACCAGCGGAAAATTCTTTTTCTTGAACCACAAATCGGACAGTGTAGTTTTCCGTGGTATTATTGTCTATGCAGCACTCAAGGGCTTGTGGCTTTTCGCATACTATAGATGTTTCAATGGGGTTTATCAGGATTTTGTGCTTCAGAGGCAAGGGAACAACCTCAATTGTCACATTGGCAGAACTCTCCAAGTACTTCTGGGAGAATGTGCAGATGCAGGTGCCTGAAAGAAGTGACACAAAAGCTATGTCTCAGTCAACAGAAGTACCCCTCTGCTTTTGTACGGTCATCAGCTCTAATACTGACAAAGTACAGTGTTGTTGGCACCATCACATCCTCCTGTCCTCTAGCAGTTATAATTTTAACTCTTTTATTTATTTATTTATTTACTGTGGGCAGACTTCACAGTGATTTGCAGGGCTAGGGATGTTGTAACTATCTGGTACAGAGATTTCATTGCCTTTATATCACCCCCCTGTACTTGGCACTGGTGAGGCCCCACCTCGAGTACTGTGTTCAGTTTTGGGCAAGAAGGACACTGTCTCACTACAAGAAGGACATTGAGGTGTTGGAGCATGTCCAGAGAAGGGCTACAAAGCTGGTGAGGGGTCTGGAGGACAAGTCTTATGAGCAACGACTGAGGGAACTGGGGGTGTTCAGCCTGGAGAAGAGGAGGCTGAGGGGAGACCTTATCACCCTCTACAACTACCTGAAAGGAGGTTGTAGAGAGATGAGGGATGACCTGACCTCTTCTCCCTGGTGACAAGTGATAGGACAAGAGGAAATGGGTTCAGGTTATGTCAGGGGAGGTTTAGATTGGATATTAGGAAACATTTTTTCACTGAAAGGGTTATTAGACATTGGAATAGGCTGCCCAGGGAGGTGGTGGATTCGCCATCCCTGGGGGTGTTTAAAAAAATGGTAGATGTGGTACTTGGGGACGTGGTTTAGAGGTGGTTTTGTCTGGGTAGGTTAATGGTTGGACTTGATATTAAAGGTCCCTTCCAACCTCAGCAATTCTATGAGTCTATGATTCTATAGCCAATACAAACCAAGTTCACTCACCATTCCAGTCCCATGTGGTAGTGTTCACTCTGAGCACAGATGTGGCTTCACGGTTGTTATTTGTGATGTACCTCCCACAGTCTATTTGGTTTATGCTATTTCCAGACTGGATTTTCCAACTGACACTGTCATACTTGCCCACATCACTTTTACACGTTAGATTGAATTCAGATCCCTCGGAAACCTGTAACTTTACGCTCGGAAATATTGTTACCTGAGCTGAGACAACACAAGATAAATGTTATATTATTGAGAGTCACTTGTTATAATCATTTCCTTGCAAATGACACGTACCACAGAGGCCACCTAGGTATTAAAGAGCTGATGGTCTGTTAGGTGCTACCTGACTCTTACCTGCCCGGAGGTACATCACTCTGATGTCTTGACTGCGCCTGGCACCGTATCCAGTCCGCAGCTCACATGTATATGTCGTCACTGTACCTGAATTCTCAGGTGGGCACAGTGATTCACTGATGTTGAGCTTGTATTCAGTGCAGTTTTCACTGAAACTGGAGACTCCTAGAGAGAAATAAACATTCCTTGAAGGGCTATGCATGTCCAAACACACCTGGGCTCTGCAACCCATGAGCAATCGCTTCAGCTAAGGAAAACCTTGTGGGTTTGTATGTAACCTTTGACAAGATGGCATTTTTAACTTGAGCAATCGCTCAGCTAAGGAAAACCTTGTGGGTTTGTATGTAACCTTTGACAAGATGGCATTTTTAACTTGTCATTGCTGCAGTTCATTCACATCTTTGACTCTAGCAACACTCACAGTGGTCTTCCAAAGGCCTGAAGATGGCTCTCAGCACAGTGCTGAGCACCTACTGCCAAAACCAGTCTAACTGAGAGCAACAGCTTTGCTTGGATACCTCAGGATAAGCCAAAATGAAGAATATTCTGGTTTAGTTTAACCTCATTATCTGCGATATTTAGGATGAGTAAGATAAGTAAAACAGGAGTAAATACTGCAGATTTTAATGTAATCTTACTTTGAAATAAACATTTGGAGGTACTTGACAGCCATTCAACTTTAAACATGCTGTTTTAGCTATAAGGTGCTGTTTTGGCTATGAGGTGCTGGTTTAGCTATAAGGGGAAAACCCCAGTAAAGCCATCCCAGTCTGTAGATGAAAGTGCATTTGGCATGAGAGCAGAGCTCCTGGGGAAAGCAAGGCCAAACCAGCTCATTACAGTAGGGCAGGATCACCCCTCTCTCTGCAGCCATCGCTGCGTACTCGTATCTCTCCCCTTTGGAAATGACTGCACACATGAGCTTTGAAGATTTTCTCTCATTTTGCTGTCCTGCTTTCTGCTAAATTTCATTCATAACAAATGGTTAACAATAAACAGTTCATCCATACCCATAAAATATTGAGGGCAATAGGTTGTTTATGACTATGGTTCATAGACATTTATGAGCTTTCTGTTGATTTTATTTTGTAACTCTTTATAACACTTTTAGTTGGTGCTTTATTAACTCTTTGTATTCATATTATAAACAAAGCCTTGTGGGATGCCACTGACTCAACCGGCGTGTGATATATCACAACTATAGGTGGAGAGGGAAACTGTGCAGTCAGTATTTAGATATGCTGCAGCTGTTTCAGTGTGTACCACCTGCCTTTCTCGGTTGCCAAATCTCAGTATGTGGTACACAGAAGGTTTTTGGTACCCCAAGGGTTATTCTGGAGGTAGCATTAGAGACTAATACACTCATCCTTGCTCTCAAGAATAGAGAATGCAGAAATAAGCTTTTTGGAAAAAGTCGGTATGATGCTGGTCCAGGCAGCTGTTTCTATCCAGGATGGCACAGTTTTAAGCATCAATACCTGCAGAGTGGATGGAGATGCCCAGAATCCCACTGGCACCTGCACAACATGTATG